GGTATTTTGTATATTTTATGTCTTTTGCTCTACGGAGTATTCAGAAATTTTGGGTTTTTATAGTTTAGTTGGTAACACAAGTGTCAGATCAATCACCGGGTATTTCTACACTGTCGGCGATACTACCATTTTGCATGAGAGTGATAAGCCTGTGACACTAGATATTGGTAGACTCAGATTTCTAGTCAATCTATTGGTCCTGGACATGCACACTTATATGTGATACTTGGGATGGATTGGTTATCTCACTACCATGCCCAAGTTAATTGTTATGATAGATCTATTATTTTTACCGTATCTGGTTAGGATATGTACGTCGTCGCTATACCCCATTCTAACGGAGTCACTAACACTTATTTGTTCCATGTGGAGGAGGAAACGGAGGAGGAGATTACTGTGTCACTGGATAGTATACCAATTGTACAGGAATTTCTGGATGTATTTCAAGAAATTCCAGGGTTGCCACCTAGTCGAGAGATAGACTTTGTGATTGACTTAACTCTAGGCACTACGCCTATTGCTAGAGCATCATACAGGATGGCACCAGTGGAGATGCGAGAGCCGAGGGATCAGATTCAGCAATTATTCAGCTAGGGTTTCATTCGTAGAAGTACTTCACCCTGGGGAGCACTAGTGTTGTTTGTGAAGAAGAAGGATGGCTCACTTTGCCTGTATATATATTACAAGGAATTGAATAAGGTTACTATTCGGAACAAGTACCCTTTGCCCAGGATTGATGTTCTTTTTAATCAATTGAAGGGAGCTACATACTTCTCTAAAATTGATCTGTATTTTTGATATCATCAACTACGGGTTAGGGAGCAGGATGTTCCTAGGACAGCGTTTCTCATCAGATATGGGTCTTATGAGCTTCGTGTAATGCCTTTCAGATTGACTAAAGCACCAGCAGTCTTCATGGATTTAATTAACAAAGTCTTCAAGGCTTATTTGGATCAGTTTGTTATTGTCTTCATTGATGATATCTTAATCTATTCTAAGTCAGAGGATGATCATGCTAGACATCTTCGCATAGTGTTACAGACACTTCGTGAACATCAGTTGTATGCCAAGTTCGAAAAATGTGAATTTTAGCAGCTGGAAGTGAAGTTTTAGGGTCACGTAGTGTCAGAAAGGGGAATACCTGTAGATCCAGCCAATGTATCTGTAGTGGTAGAGTGGGGACAACCTACTTCACCTACAGAGATTCGGAGTTTCCTCGGATTGGCGGGATATTATCGTAGGTTCATTCAGGGATTCTCGAAAATAGCGGGACCACTCACTCACTTAACTAAGAAGGATGTACAGGTTGTGTGGGATGAACACTGTCAAAAAGCTTTTGATGAGCTTAAAAGTAAGTTAACTTATGCACCGGTTCTGTCTTCTCCACAGAGCGGAATAGAGTATCTTGTCTACACAGATGCTTCTTTGCAGGGTCTTGGATGTGTTTTGATGCAGGAGGAGCGACCGATTTTGTATGGACCTCGTAAGCTTAAGCCTCATGAGCTTAATTATCCAACACATAATTTGGAGTTGGCAGCTTTGGTCTTTGCTTTATGTATATGGAAGCATTATCGGTTGGGAGAATCTTTCAGATTATTTAGTTCACTCAGTGGGAACTGAATATAAGATAACACTGATAGTTAGAGTTTATGAAGGACTATCATTTTTTAATACAATACCATCCAGGGAAAGCGAATGTAGTGGCTGATGCACTCAGTCGTCCACCCTATGCGAGTCTTTTTGCTTTATTCAACACTGAGTGGAATGCTTTGAAGTCAGTTGATGAGTTGTCTGATGCTTTTATGGCTTACATGGTAGTTACACCTTCTATCATTCACAAGGTCTTGAAGGCACAACTCACGGATCAGCAGTGTATTGACAAGGTTGCAGAGATAGCTTCTGGGGAGGTTCCATTTTACTATGTTGGGACTGATGGAGGTTTAAGGTACAAAGGGCGTTGAATAGTACCTTCTGCTGATGAATTGAAGAAGGACGTGATGACTGAGACTCATCATTCTGAGTTTTCTGTTCATCCAGGAGGAGACAAAATGTATCAGGATATGAAGCGGCAGTTTTGGTGGGTAGGTATGAAGAAGGACATTACAATATTTGTCTCTCAATGCAGTACTAGTCAGATGGTCAAGATTGATCATCAGAGGCCGCCAGAAGCTCTACAACCATTGTCTATACCGGAGTGGAAGTGGGAGAGCATTTCTATGGATTTTGTGAAGGGATTGCCAAATTCTTTTAAGGATTACAATTCTATTTGGGTCATCATGGATAGATTAACAAAATCAGCTTAATTCTTGTCTATTCGCACTGACTTCACTTCGGAGCAGTTGGCGAGACTTTACATTACAGAGATTGTGAAGTTACAAGGCATTCCATTATCTATTATATCAGACAGGGATTCGAGCTTTGTGTCAGGATTTTGGAAGAGTTTTCAGCAGGCTTTGGGTACAGAGTCGCATCTTAGTACTGCTTATCATCCTCAGATTGATGGCCAGACCGAGAGGGTTAATCAGATCATGGAGGATATGTTTCGTTCTTGTGTTCTTGAATTTTAGGGTCATTGGGAAGACTATTTTCCACTTGTGGAGTTCGCATATAATAATAGTTTCCAGAAGACTATTGGTATGGCACCATTTGAGGCATTGTACGGCCAACCATGTCGATCTCTTGCTTGTTGGATGAAGGTTGGAGAGAGCAGCTTTTTGGGTCTTGAGTTCATTAAGGATACCTCTGAAAAGATCGCTTTTATTCAGGATCGCATGTGCACTGCTCAGAGTAGGCAGGAGAGTTATGCCAATCGTCGTACTCGTGCATTGGAGTTTCAAGTTCGAGATCAGGTTCTACTCAAAGTGTCTCTTATGAAAGGAGTAATGCGCTTTGGGAAGAAAGGGAAGTTGTCACCATGATTTGTCAGTCCATTCATGATTACGGATCGAGTTGGAGCTGTAGCTTATCGGTTGGCACTTCCGGATCATTTGGATAGTGTGCATAATGTGTTCCATGTTGCGAAAATTTCAGCGCGATGATGATCAGTATCAACATATTGATGTTGGGGAGATTGAGTTGCTGCCGGATGCAACATATATGGAGCCACCATGTCGTATTGTCGACCGTCGAGATCAAATTCTTCGTAATAAGGTTATCCCTTTAGTGCGGGTTTCGTGGAGTCACCACAATGAGGCGGAGTCTACTTGGGAACGGGAGGATGTCATTTGCTCGCAGTTTCCTGAAATAATGGAAGAAGGTAAGAGCGAATTTCGAGGACGGAATTCCTTTTGTTAGGGGGAAAGAATGTAATACCCTTAATTTTAAAATGATAGTCTCGGCATTTTAATTAATTATTTTATTGCATTTTTATTTGATTGTTTGCCTAATTGTTTTGATTGTTTTTATTTAATTGAATTATTTGTTCTAATTGTTTAATGATTTAATTTAATTATGTGTTTTCTTTAATGTATAATTTAATTTAATTATTTGTTTTCATTAATTGTTTAGTTAGGTTATGAGATTAATTTAATTTTAAATTTTAATAATGTCAAATTAGGGTTTTTTTATTCTTTTATGAAATCACGTGTTGGCCGACTAGTATTTAGTTTAGTTTTCCATCTCTGATTATAATTAGACTTAGGTTTTTCTAGAGGCCTATAAATATACTGGTTTAAGTCTGCCAAGGGTTTTAGAACCCTAATCACGTAACAGTGGAGGCGACGAGTTATACAGAGAGGTTTGAGAGGAAAACAGAAAGGGAGAATTGGGGTTTGGCTGAGACTAAGGCTGAATCAAGGAGAAAAGGAAGGAGTGTTGCTCATGGGTTGAACCAAGGGGCAACAGAGGAGTTAGAGCAGTAAAAGATTGCCGAAAAAACTAGGAAGACGATGCCGAGATTTTTAATCTGAAATCTCAATGGCAAGTTCTATTTCTTGCTCCTTCCCTTTGACTTATGTTCTGTGCATGCCTAGGTAGTCTCCAGGAGTTTATTTAAATGTGAATTAATCTTCTATATGTATTTAATTTGATCTGGAACAGTTCTTGCGAATTTATATTACAGTGTCTGATCTTGAAGCATATAGAATCGTTAATTGTTCTCATCGTTATTATTAATGCAAACTATTTTATATAAATTATAGGGATGCTACTGGATACAGTTTAGACTCTTAGGTTTAGTATTAATGAAGAACAAAAGAGTTGGAAGTGGCCGGAGACGAGGCAGAAGGGTAAAACGGGTTCAGGGCTCTCAGAGGGGGAGAATGCCGGCTCTATGGAAGTGGGAGCCGGTTCCCTCAACTGAAGAGCCAGCTCCAGGTGATGGGGAGCTAGCTCCCCCTTGTTTAGAGCCGGCTCTAAGGCCTAGGGAGCCGGCTCCATGGTTGGGCTGAGCCTGCTCTCCAGTTTTAAGAGCAGGCTCTCTTGTTTGACACATACTGGAGGTGGTTTGGGCACTGTTTTGATGATTTTGGTTTCCCGAACTAGTTTGGAATATTAATGGGGGTTCTAAATATTATTTTCATGGTGTATTAAAACCCTAGAATGCATAATTTTCAATTATATGCAAATGGTTTGAGCAGTATGAAAGGTTAAACAAGTTTGAATGCTGTTAACGAATATAAGGGATTTAAATTGCATCATTTATTTTAGCAATTTAATGGACTGTAATATGATTTTTAAATCTGTATTGGATGCATAATATGGTCATCTACTTATTAGATTTTATTATGCTTATTTTGGAATTTAATTGATGAACCACTAAATTCTGTTTTGTCAATTACGTGGATGTTATGGAATGTATGCACCGGTATGGGACGGTGGCATATTAGGGACGAATTAGTTTAAAATATTAAGTCCTACCTACTTTGGAATAAGGGAATGGTTTATAAAAATTAAATCCTACTTATATTTAACTCAAATCAGTTGTGTAACGCTCTGAATTTTTTGAAATAAAATCCTCGATTTATTCAAATCAAAATACTTCATAAAAGATACCCAGGATCTCAGAAGAAATAAAATACCCTTTATTGATACAAAATCAATCAAATTTCCTCAAACAAACAAGACAAGATCTCAAATTAATTAAATTGATACTAAATCAATTTCCTTAAATAAATACATAAAAATCTCTAAATAAAATAATTTAATTCCTCAACACCAACTCTTCCACCTAAGCCCGCAGCTAAAAATCCTCAAGCATCCTCGGTACCTGAAACTGTAGGGGGGTGAGACGGAAAAGTCCCAGTAGGAATACCATAACAAGGATTTCAAGAAATTTCATGCAAAATTAATTTCACAAAAATATACATATACATTTAAGCAAAATAAATATATGCAATTTTAACAAAATATCATTCAATAAAAATTAAAATAAATCATCCAAGTCATTCAAGTATGATAATCCCTACTCTGTAAAATGAATAAATCAACACTGGTCATCAACATCACTGCTCCCAGCTCCCTCTGAAACTCTCGGATCTCTCTGTGAATGTTTCCTTTATTTCTCTCTTCTATATCATCACCAAAAGGCACAATATATATAGACAATTGTACCGACAGTTCACAAATAAACTAAAATTAGGGGACAACAAACTTTAGTGGACCCGCCACCACCTTTATCTCTTACTTTTCCTTGTCACTTCATATATCACTTTAACAATCAAATTCCAAATACAAAGAATGCAATCTAAACTCACATCAGAACATGAAAAAAAAAGCCAAAGTCAAATAAATAATGCCAAAATATCAATCAATGGGACCCGCCACCATAATTCATCTTTCTTCCTTTCACAATCTCGGCTGCTCCCTTTATGCATCATTTCATCAATTGCTATATATATATATACATATATATATGTAATAAATTCAGCCCATTAATACTCTCAAGTGGGACCCGCCCACTATCACAAAATCAAAACCCATATTGGCTTTTCCACCTTTCGCCACCTGCCCTTTCACCTCATCCCAATCTCGGCTCCTCATTTTGGCAGACAAGATATATACATATATATATATATATCATAACCAAATCAAACCATTCTCAACTCTTTTAAATAACAAGTGGGGCCCGCGGACAACCAATTCCATTTTCCCTTTTGCTTTTTAAATCTCGGCCAGCCCATCAATTAAGCTTCCTTCATCACCAAAATAGATATATAATCAAACCCACTTTTGGAACCAACTTGCTCCTTCATCACAAACTGATGCCACAATTTATATATATATGTGGTCATTTATATATACAAAAGCTGTAAACCAATTCTATTCCCAATAAAAATCTAAAGTGGGTAAATTCAATCAAAATAAAATATTCAATCTTCTTTCTTCTACCAATTTTCGGCTGCCATCTCCCATGATAACTAAAATCATGAAATGAAATAAAAATTAAATTTAAACTCTAGTCTCCAATTCAATAATCAATTAACCAATTTTTAATTGGTAAATCTCCAATTTAAAATAAATGCTCAATCAAACTTAATATATATATATACAAGTGCATACCTTGTGACAATAATTTAAACCTAATAAATATTCAAATTGGGTAAGTCTTCAAATAAAAAAATTAAATTATCAACTATGACAATTTAAACATCATGAAATAAATTGAATTTCAACACTTAAAAATCCGGGTGGTTACATTTTCCACCACTTAAGAAGAATTTCGTCCCGAAATTCAGATCGAACAATCTTCGCATACCCGAAAATATCAAAAGTGGTAAAAAAAAATCCTAAAATCCTTACCCCAGGCGATGTGAAATTCAATGACATGAAAAAATATTGTGGTAGCTGACAGTGCTAGTTACCCGCCCACACACTCTGTAACCGTTGTGGTAACTAGACGATGTCGTGACCCGTCCACACACTCTGTAACCGTTGTGGTAACTAAATAATGCCGTGACCCGTCCACAAAATAAAACCGATAGTGATCTAGGGACACCTGCCCCTAATCACCTATAGTAATCATCCCAATAGCTGCCAGTGAATGACATCCGGACACACACACCCGGCTACAAGTGGTAGCTAGTCAATACTAAACACTCGCCCACACACACCGGACAACATCATCACTAAACTCACACTTCCGGCTGGGTACAGGCTCTGATACCATTCTGTCACGCCCCGAATTTTTTCTAAATAAAATCCTCAACGCCAACTCGTCTACCTAAGCCCGCAACTAGTAATCCAAGATCATCTTTGGTACCTGAAACTGGAAGGGGGTGAAACGGGGGAATTCCCAGTAGGAAAAACCATAGCAAGGATTTCAAAGAGTTTCATGCAAAATCAGCTTCGCAAAAATATACATATACTTTTAAACAAAATACATATATGCAATTTTAGCAAAATAACAATTAATAAAATATTTGAAACAAAATTATCCAGACCATTCAAAATATGTAGAACCCTACTCTAAAAAATAAATAAATTAACTCTGGATCATCAAATCTCCAAGTCTTGCCTTCTCTGCAAACTATCGGCTCTCACTATCTCTGTTCTCCAATATTTCTCTTCTGTATCTAATTTATTTCCTTCTGTATATCATGTTCTAAAGCACAAAACTAATACAACAATATATATAAGCAATGCACCGACACTATACAATAATATCTCACTGCAATTTTTAAACATATCACCAACTGGACCCGCCACCTAATCACTTCGATCTCGGCATACACTTATTTCCTTCCCCAACATTTCTTACCACCTTATCAGGTTGTTTCATCTACTTCTAACAACCATGTCCAAGTTGCAACAAAAATCAAAGCCCACTAACATCATTAGGTGGGCCCCGCGAAATAACCATTTCCATTTTCTTCTCTTTTCTCATTTCCCACGGCTGGTACCTTACTGCCACCAATTTCTTTATTTTCTTATCTCTTTGTCACATTCAACATCATAATATACACTAATATAGACAAACAAAATCAACTATGGGACCCGCAATTCCTTTAGAACTTCATTATTTATTTTTTTTTCTTTATTTATATACACCTATCTGCCAACACAAATATATATACACAAATTTCTCCTTTAAATATCAATTAAGTGGGACCCGCCCACCACCTTTTCATTTATACATTTCACTTTTCTCACACAGCAGCACACAATCACAGTTTTTCTTTCTCAATTCTCGGCTGGTGCATCTTCCATCATCACAGATTATATATATATATATATATATATATATCATATATATACATTCAATGTAACTAAACCAACCCAATAACTCTCCTTGTCACCTTCGACTGGTAGCTTGCTTTTGCACCAACATATATATATATATATATATGTATATATTATATGTAATGATGAGTGCTGAAAAGTGCGTATTTAAACCCCTTAAGCTTAGGCATTCTAGTACATTTATCTATCTTACTTTACTGTTATAGATTGATTTCGTATTATTTCCATTTTCAGGCACTTATCCCGAAAATAAGCTAACTCAGCCAAATAAGAGATTAATTGAAGCAATTCTGGATTAAACAAATAAAGGAGCAAAATGGAGAAAGAATGAAGCAAATGAAGCCAAAGGTGGGAAGCAGCAAAGTTCGATCGATCCAACTTCAAGGTTCGATCGATCGAACAATGATCGATCTCAGCACTTCAAGATAGATCAAAGCCTTGGCCCAAAAGTATAAAGTCCAAAAGTTCGATCGATCCAACACTACCCTTCGATCAATCGAACACTTTTGTCCTTATTCAAATGATTGATCCTATTCACAACTATACCATCCACTAACCACTTTTGTTCTTTTCCCAAAAATATCTCCCAAAATATCTCGGATTTGTCTTTTCCCAAAAAGCTTAACCAGTTGGATCGATCTAACCTACGTTCGATGGATCTCAGCCAGTTCGATCTATCTAAGTCCAAGGTTCGATCGATCGAACTTCCTCCAGTACGAAAAAGTTAAATTTCCATCTCACTGAAAGTTGTCCTTTATCCAATCATTAGGGAATATTATGTGCACGACCCCAGCTCATTTTTGGGTGTCATTTGACCTACCTATATAAGGATAAGGATTGTTTTTTACAAGGGGAGGCTAATATACAATTCTATGGTTTATTCTCTTAGAGACCAATTTTAGAGGAGGAGGAGGCTAGAGACACCATTGGACTCTTCATCATCCAAGGAGCAAACATCTACCATGCAGTTTGCCCATGAGGGTTGGAGGAGCACTACCATGAGGGGCTAGACATCCTCTTGGGGCTAGAGTTAGCCCCAAGCATGCTTTTTATATCTTAATCTTGTGTATTATTGAGGGATTAGTGTTGTAATTGATGTTTTGACACTTTGATATATATAGATTTTGTTTATTCAATGATTTATGTGGTTAAATGCTTTCAACTGATCATTTCATTCTATCCATATGTCTATATATGTTAGAATAGATGATCATGTGCTTTTCTCTAGATTTTGTGTTATTGATTCATGTCTATGTGTATTGATGCTATGGATTTAGAGATTGTCAAAACATAGTACTTAATGGAATGCTCTTGTGATTTTCTTGATGGTTACCTATTCCTTGATGGATTGTGCCTCTCCTTTAGTTTATTTTATGCTAGTAGTGTAGATGTAGTGTAGTTGTAATGTAGTGTTAAATGGGAGGACAATCCATGCTTGTTGTTTGATGATCCATGCTTTTGAATGCAAGTATTATATGTCTCTAACTTTATGTTGTATTTGGATTGTGAGCTTAATGAAAGGATTAAAGACTTGTTTTGATCTATTGTGCCTTTTACATGTTGTTTAGATAATATATGCTTCATTGTTTAGATATATTGTGCCTTTCTCATGATGTTTAGACAATACATGTTTAACTAGTCATCCTTGCTTGTTGAATCAACCAAAGACACACACACACACCAATATTGCAACACACCATTTTCCCTCATTAGTCACATGTCAATGGTATAGAAATGCATTGCTTGGTGGTGATCTCTAAACCCCAAGACTTTTCTTTCTCTTATTTGTTCTTAATTGCATTTTTTTGTTATCACTTAGTTTAATTTAGTTGCTCTCTAGTCTAATCAACCAACTAACCATTTGTTTGATCACTCGACCTACTAACCCTAATTGTGATTCCACAAGCTGGTACGACAACCCAATCCCTTGGGACGATCCCTTCTCACTCATACTACATAGTATAAGTGTTAAGCGGTTTATAAATTTAAATTATGGTGCCCACTTGACACTAATTTCCAACCTCAAAGTTTTGTGCATTGTTTTGTGCACGCCCAAGGAAGACACCATAGTTTTTGGCGCAGTTGCCGAGGATTAGGCAACGTTATATTTGTGGAATTCAAGTAGGAATTAGTGCTCTTTTGATCATGTCTTTACTTTATTTTTATTTTTCTCTAGATTACTTATTGTGTTTGTTCATCTTTGACAAGGAACATTGAGCTAAGAGCCAAACAAAGGAGCATCCAAGCAAAGGAGCTAAGCAAGAAAGGAAAAGTGCTTAAAATTTTTTAAAAAAATTTGATAAGCTAAGCTTTAAATTTGGAGTTGGAGTGCTAAAGGACCTTTGTGAGACTTTCTTACTCAATCCCTTAGTTAAACCATCGGCCCACGTGGAGGCTTGCTTTCAATTTCTTAGATAAATCGCGAGCCCGTTTGAAGGCATTTTTCTTGTCATTGCATCATTGTTGTTTCAAGCATAGGAGTATGGGTTAAGTGTTTATGGAAGAAGTCTAATTGCATTGTTGTAAAGGCATAGTGTTTGTCATTCTTTGCCCTTGTTGTGTTTTGCATTGTGCATGCTTGGTCGTAGATCACTAAGACCAACTCTTGTCCCTTTATATTTGCATGTTGAATCCATCGTTTGAAATCCTAGGGGAAGAGAAAGTTCTAATAGAACTAATCTATCAATGGATGATCATAATGATGATCATGTTCAGGACCTTGGTCACATAGACCAACAAGGTATCCTTCATCCAAATGTGCATCATGAGAATATACAAGTACCATTAGGCATGCCTAGGCCATACATTCACCAACCACCACAACAACAAGGCCAAGTTCCATATGGAATGCCAAGGCCAATGTATGCACCACAACCTCCTATCATCAATCAGGGAATTCAAAACCAAGGTGTTCATGTTGCACCTCAAGTAGCTAATCCACCTCTTGCTTTAAGAGACCATTATGTGCCTAATGAGTATAATGCACCTACATGCATCCAATTGCCACCATTTAGAGCACATCATTATGAAATCAAAGCACAAACCATTCAAATGCTTCCTAACTTTCATGGACTTCCAAGCGAAGAACCTTATAAGTATTTGGATGAGTTTCTTGAAGTTTATTCCACCGTAAAATATACGGACATGCCGGAAGAGATCTTAAGACTCAAACTTTTTCCATTCACCTTAAAAGACAAGGCAAAGTATTGGTTTAACAATCTTAGGCCTTTTTCAATCACTTCTTGGGCAGAAATGTAATAAGAGTTCTTAAAGAAGTACTATCCGGTTTCTAAGACCAATGCCATGAGAACTTCCATTAGAGAATTCACACATGGGGATGGAGAAATGTTTCATGAGGTATAGGAACGCTTTAATGAATTGCTTAGGAAGTGTCCACATCATGACATGCCCAAATGGCAATTAGTTCAATATTTCTTTGAGAGCTTACCGAACAACTATAAGGGTATGGTTGATGCTTCCATGGGTGGCTCATATATTGATAGGCATGAGGATGATGTGTGACGTCTGTATGAGAGCATGAGTGAAAATTCATTGCATAGAACATTGTCTTCAAAGAATGGTAGAAATACACAAGGTAGGAAAAGTGTTGGCTTACATCAAGTTAACCATTCAAATGAAATAGCCGCCGAAATGAAGTCTTTATCTCAAAGGTTTGATCAATTTTTGTAACGACCCACTCCACCACATGGTATGATATTGTCCGCTTTAGGCCTGAGCCCGCACGGTTTTGCTCTTGAGCTTCACCCCAAAAGGCCTCATACCAATTGGAGGTGACACACTTACATAAAAGTACTTCACCTTTCCTCTACCCAGGCGATGTGGGACTGTGCACCCGTAGCTCGCCAGTGTGGTAGCCTGACAGTGTCTCTCGCACCCGCCCACGGCACACCCGCCCACAGGGTCATCACAATCCACCCCCCTTGGAGGCCCGACGTCCCCGTCGGCACACTTCCGGCTGGGTCAGGCTCTGATACCATTTGTAACAACCCACTCCACCACATGGTATGATATTGTCCGCTTTGGGCCTGAGCCCGCACGGTTTTGCTCTTGGGCTTCACCCCAAAAGGCCTCATACCAATTGGAGGTGACACACTTACATATAAGTACTTCACCTTTCCTCTACCCAGGCGATGTGGGACTGTGCACCCGTAGCTCGCCAGTGTGGTGGACAATATCATACCATGTGGTGGAGTGGGTT